TAGGCCCCATCTTGACATATTACGGCAGTCATTTACGCGATCCGCAGCACGGGCTGTGGACTGTGTTTCTCACGGAGTGGTGCGTGAAAGTCGCCGCCACCCTCCTGTGGGAAGTTTTCGACTGTTGGCGCCTGTGGCACCTCCCTTCGAAACTCCGCGAACAGATGCGTCTCCTCGATTTTTCTGTCCCCCTTGGCGGGTCGGATGTGGACCGTGAAGTGCACGCCCTCCTCGATATGATCGAGACCGTAGCGTGGGATTGCGTTTCTCCACAAAATTCGTCTCGGTCCTTTTCACGCCAGCGACCCTCTTTTTCCCCTGGTAGAAATCATCCAGCTGCCGGCGACTTCGTGTGGATCAACCCCTGGTCCTCCTCCCTCTGTTCTGCCTGGGAGGCCCAGATGAGCCGCCGTTTCGGAAATCAACCACCAACCCCCAACGCACTCACTGTGGTGAACGCAGATCCTCGAGAGCCTGAGATGTGCTCTCGACCTTCGGCCCCAACTTCCCCTCTCCCTGCACCGGTCCGTCCCTCCGCGCCTGAGGCCCCAGTGTGCGTCGTACTTCCTCCCACGAGCTCGGCGGAAACCTTGTCGCTTCGAGTCGTGTCTTCCTCCGACGTGAATCCAACCTCACTTCCTGCTTCCCCATCACGCGAGGGACAGCTCGTCACACCCACCTCAACCTTGCCATTGCCGTCATGTACGGCACCCGTGGGCTTAACCCGCCCTGAGGTTCTTCCGCGCGCCGAGATTCCTCCTGCGAGCTGCTCGACGGGAACCATTTCAATCCAGGAAGCCCCTCCGTCGTCCGGGGATCCGACCCCACGTCCAGCTTGCCCTTCACCTGAGGGTCCGCTCCTCGCCCCTACCTCGGGCCCTCCATCATCTACAATTCCCAAAGAAAATACCTCTGCTGCCGCCGTTTACCATCGCCTTCTCATGGCTCATGGTGTGGAGGGAGAAGCTCTCCAGGGGGCATCCCTGGACGACTTGCGAGTTCCAGCTCGGCTTGTCACCTCCCTTCCAAAGGAAAAATCCCTTGGGGCATAGTCTCGTTGAGACGGCGGCCACAGCACTTCCTTGCGACTTGTCCTTCTTTTCCCATCTGATAGCCGACTAGCGACTTTATCGTACGACCTTTGGGCGATAAAAAGAACCCACCTGCGCATCTCCTGTTATTTCTCACTTCCTCCTCTTTTGCATTTTCAGTTTTCTCTTTCCTGATTTCCCTATGTTTCCTTCTCTTCAATTCCTCCTCTTTATCCTTGACCACTTTTCTCCCTCTTTTCCTACGCCCTGACTCTGCCTAACGGGGACGGCAACGTGCGTATTTTATGGCATCTCCAACTTCCTCCTTTCGTTTACCCGCTTCTCACCGTAGGCGGGGGCATGGCGGTCCCTGACAATTTTTCTAGTCGCCCTCCCCCTTTTTGTTCAGCCGTCCACGAGACGTCGTCAATGATCGCATCTTCAGTTGCTCCGTTGCCCGTTTGGAGATTCCTACTCAAGGGAACACAGTCCCTTCTACGGTCTCTGAGGTGGTCCGCTTTTCTGTCCTCCTCTTCCTTTCTCAATTTCTCCCAATTTCCTGCGCATTCTCTTTCTCCCATCCTCGATGTGCGTCTTCCCTTTCCTCCTCTTTTGTGGTTTACCTCCTCTTTTTGGTCTGTCCCTTTTTACCTCTTCCAATTCCTCACTTACCTCCTCTTTAAATCTCAGTATACTTCCCCCTTCTCATCCCTCTACCTCCCTCTCTTCAGCTCCCAACTTCCTCCTCTTTAAATGGTCGAATGCCTATCGGGTTCCCCGTGGTCTAGGTCAATGCCCATTGTTAACTTGGAGGGCGGCGCTGCACACTGACCTGGATCGTCGCTCCTTTGTCGTGGTATTTTTTTGCGCGAATGTCTTCATCGAGGGCCAGGCTCGATTCCTCGATGGGGGATTTATTTTCCCATTGGCCCTCGGTCCATTCCGTCGTCTCACTCCTTCTGGGCTTTGTCCTCTTCCCTTTACGACCCGTGTCTGACCACCGGGGATTGCCTCATTAAAAAAAAGCAATACAGAAATGAAGTGGTCTTCAACGTGGTCGAAGTTCGACCATCTCCGCTGCGCATCTATTTTTGCCTCCAAGGCAGCTGCCTTGAGTCACGCTGTCCTTTATGGCTCTCTCCTCATTTCTTGTGACGACATCGTCACCCTGTCTTTGTGGTGTTTTCGGGGAAGATAATACGTTGCCGACGTGATGCAGCTCCGTCCTCCCTCGATCACTGGTATAACAGCTCTGTAGTCGTCTTTTTCGACGTTCCTCTCCATAGACTGGGGACCCGTCCTTAGTGCGCACACGGGTTGGCGTCGTGCGTGCGAGGGTCCGAATCGAAAAACTATGGGTCTCTCAGCAATGCGAAGCACGTCGTTCTCCCATTATTCCCACCCCAGCTTATTGTACCCCGCCTATGGCGACTCTTGTCACCGATGATGACAAAAAACGAAATGCGGTGGCCGTCCCCCTTCCTTACGCTGTGCTTTTGCTCCCAAAACTTCAATCGAAGTCGTAATCGTGTCATATAGAACGTAGATCGATTTTCCTTTTCCTTCGTTCATATGTAATCGACGATGTCAATCATATTCTTGTTCTCGTGTGTAAATCAAAAACTGACTTTTGCCTGGGCGGCAGCGTTTACGTCGGGCCACAGATAACTCGTGCTTCGTTCTCGAAATGCGCGTGGCGAGGACTCTGTCCTCCCTCTTCCCTGAACGCCATTTTCCTCGACAAAGGCGCCCGCGATCTCTATAAGTATGCATTTCCAATGATGGCTTGAGCTTTTTCTGGTTTTGTGAGGGGTGTAGCGTGACGCTCTACCAGTTGGCAGCGATGTGACGTGGTGCTTGCGATCGCGACTTCGATTTGTCGCTGGTTGGTTTCGTCTCCCTCCGAGGGAGACACTGTATCTCCAACGAAGTCTCAATTTCCATTGTAAAATTAGTGAGCTTCCTGCCACGTGAGGGGATCCCTTCTTCTTCTCCTTGCTTGATCCCTGTGTGACACGCGTTGAAAAGGATATCTGCACGCCTCTTCGGCTTTCCTGTACGCTCCCCGGATCCCCGAAATGAACAAAGAGAAAGAAAGAAAACAAAGAGCTCGTCGAAACTTGACGACGTGGTTGAGTCGCACCTCCCTGAGCGTTCCAGCGGTCCGCTTCCTTGGGGTCGCACCTGGCTTTGGGGGGGCGGTACGGTGCGTACGCCATGCACTTTCCAACACTTATCCAGCATCCCTTGCGCTCGTCACGACTGTTTTTTCCTAAAAATTGAATCAAAATTCGCAGTGGTGCGTGGTGCTCCACATTGGTTACGCGACACTTGTCCTAAGGTCTCTTCTATGAAGTACTGTACTGTACAGCACTCCTGAATTTTCTCTACCAATTTCCCATCTGGCGAGGGCAGATCACCGATGCAAATGTAATTTCATGTGCGATTGGTGACGCGTGGTCACTTCTGCTACCAAGTCGAAGTAGCTTATTGTTCTGACCGAGTTCATAGGGGTCTCATCGTTCCGTGCCGTCGTGTCGGAAGAAATTCCCTCTCGTCCCTCGGGTGTCAACAAGCCTGCTGATCTGGCAGGAGCGCCGGCGTCCCTATTATGGTCTCTTCGCTATAAGTTAATTCGCTTCTTCGTTGTCCTTCTACGGGGCTCTCTTAGGTTGCCCGTCTGTACTCGCGGTTCGGGTATCTTCTCGACCCTATGGTAAAAACAATAAACAGAACAAACGAGGAGAGTGAAAGAATTGAGAGTAAAAAAAAGGAAAGTGGAGGGGCGGTTGTTACTAAATTTGAAAACCTTTCCCGATCAATGAGCAATTTCCCCTCGTTCTGTTGAACGATCTTGACACGTTTGAGGTGCGTCCTGTGTCAGCTTCGCGTCCGAATTGCTGGGTTTTCAATAAGTCTGCCGTTTTCGCCGAAATCTGGTACTGCTCATGCACAGTTGGTGTCATTGAAAATGACATCGTAGGTGTAATTTTCGTTCGACGGACTGACAAGCTTAAATAACCAGAGCCGTGGTCCGCGGTCGATGTGTATCATCGTAGGCCTTCGTTTCTCCGTTTTTCTGAGCATCCCAACTCTCTGCGCCTATTAAGTGGGAAGTCCCTTAACTTGGCGCTCCAGACGGGTGCGCGTTCTTGACTTGTTCTCGTCCGTCTGTTGATCTGCCTTGAAGTTATGTTGCTCGGAGTCCGCGATACGCGGTTGAGTCGCCGAAGTCCTACAACAGAAACAACAAAAAGATATAATAGAATCCAGTGTAACAAACAAAGTAAAAAAAGAAAAGGGACAGAAAACGAACAAAGAAACAAAATAATTGAAGAGAGGGTGTGATGGGTGAGTGCTGAATGGATCGGTCGGCAAAATAGTACTGCGCCTTGTCGTCGACGTCGGTCGCTGCGTAGTTAATTGTAGATGCGTCCTCGTGATGGTGGTCCTTATGGACGGACGTCCTTGCTCGTCAAAGGGGGGGAAAACGTGTGTCAGTAGTGAGTGTGTCGATCGGTCGCCATGCGAGGTCGGGTGTCACTCGACCGCGGGACGACTTACGATATTTAAGCCGTCGATTTTGGCAAGCGACAACAACTTTGCTTGCGGACTGCAGTTGCAGCAGTATTTCCCTGCTTCCCGATTATAATTTCGCAGCATGCGGGATCGATTTCTCACTTGTGTCGCCTTTTTGGAAGTTTGTTGTCGACACGCCTAGTTTTTTTTTGATTACCTCATACGCCACGAGAACGGATCGGCTGTTCGAAACGTCATTTCTCGTGCGTGCCGTGATGATGCGTGTGTGTTTTCCGAGTGTCTCAATGCCTCATCCAAGGATACAGTCTCGCTTCTCTGCCTTGCTCTCCTTTCCTTCAAACTCCTTATTTGCGCACCTCGTAGATGCGTTACTTCCTCAAAGTTCTGACCTCTCTGTTGTCTCTAACCTACTAATTCTATTTACGATGGCTATCCCGGTTGTGCGTGCGACGCTTGCGTGGGTAAGGGTAGCTTTTTCCTTCGGAAATATATGACTACCGCGCTGCGGGGGATCTGCTCAATAGGTTCCCACGTTGCGTCCTCGATGGTATACCCATACCACCTCACTTTGAGAATTAATTTCTCCTCGTCGTAGCCGTGGTCCACGATCTTGTCGATCACATACTCCTGACTCTCGGCTCCTTCTTCCTGCGTGTCCAACTGTCCTTCCCCCTTCCGAAGATCTTCCGACTCATCCTCGTCTCTGGACTTTCCGAACTCGCGTAGGTCTGGAGGTGTCTCCGCTGTCGGCGTTCGACCAACAAAATTTTCCTGGTCCCCCGTCGTAGGCGCACGGGTGTGAGGACGTTCCTCGTCCTCCATTAGCTCTCCTTCTTCGTTTAGCTCCGGTTCTCCCAGGAACTGTAGCGCTTGCCGTAGGCCAGTTATCGGCGCATAGTCCATCGGGCTTGGGGCTAACTCCACCCTGTCTCGCGATACGCGTTCCTCCTGATCGCCAATGGCAATGACTACCGTATGTTGATCCGATCTTCGGACCTGATAAGGTCCTGTGGCGACTTGTGCCAGCTTGTGTTTCGGTTCGCTAGCCGTGCCCTGCTTCTTCCGAAGGAACACGTAGGACCCCGGCGGGATCTGGTATTGCGGTTTGCGAAGGCGTGCGTCGAAATTTCGCTTGTACCGGGCTTGTTCCTTTCGCAAACTCCTATCAGCGCCTTTCATCAGGCTTTCCAACCACGACTGCCATTTCAGGTAGTACGCTCGATTCGAGCTAAATCCTTCCAAACTTGGCTGTGCTTGTAACGCAATGCTTCTCGGCGCCCGAGCTAACACCAGCTCGAAGGGCGCGATATTCGTAGTTCGATGAACTTGCGTGTTGTATGCGAACGTCACAGCGTCGCTAAATAGGTCCCAGTCCTTGGGATGTTCTCCAACATATTTTCGCAACGCGGAAGTCAGCGTGCGGTCAAATCTCTCAACTTGGCCGTTGGCTTGCGGGTGGTACGTAGTCGTAAACACATTGCGTATGCCGAGAATTCGGCAGACATTCTGAAAGAACCGGGCCGTGAACTGTGTTCCATTGTCGGACAGCAGCTTGACCGGCGGTCCGTACACGAATACCCAATGGTGAACGAAGGCTTGTGCGATGTGCGCAGCTGATATCTTCTTCAACGGTACGGTTCGTACCAGTTTTGAGTATCGATCGCTGATCACGAGAATGTACCGATTTCCTCGTTTAGTTGTAATTAGCTCGCCGAGGATGTCGATGGCGGCAAACTCCAGCGGAGCTTTGGACGTGAACAGCTTCATTTCCTTCGTGTTTTTTCTTAACTTCACCCTCTCCCGCGCGCATGCGGCGCAGTTCTTCGCGACTGCATAGCAGTCTAGGGCCATCGTAGACCAATAAAAATATCTTCTCAAAGTCTTGTAAAGTTTCCTGCCTCCCGGGTGGCCTGCCAATTTTGCGTAGTGGCTCAACCCTAGGACGCGGTCCTTTAACGATTGTGGTATTACCAGTTGTACAAACTCTGCCGCGATACGGCATAGAGTTCCTTCGAGTTCCTCGGTTTCCATGCTGAATGTTCTCACCTTTCCGGCGTCTATTTCTTCCTTGATGCGATTGCAGAAGGGGTCGACGGCTTGCTCGCGAATGAGCTCCTCCGGAGTGACAGCTTGGAATTGATCGAGGCGATCAGGGGCGGTCCCCCCCTCAAGAGCGAGGATGTCGTCTATCGCGTCAAAACTTTCCTCGTTCTCCACTGTACCCTCGGCCGGTTCGGCCATAAAGCATGGGATTTCGTCGTCGATTTCGTCGACGGTTTCTCCTGCGGTCCGTAATCTTGACAGGGCATCAGCTTGACTGTTCCCCTTGCCCTTCTTGTACTTGATTTCGAAATCGAATTCCGAGAGGCGGAGCCTCCATCGGATTAATCTCCCGCTGGGGTCGGTTACGTTCATCAACCACCTCAATGAGGCATGGTCGGTATGCACAATGAAGTGCTCGCCATATAGATATGGTCTTAAAGTCTGTACGGCCCAAATTACTGCTAGAAATTCTTTTTCTGATACAGAATAGTTTCTCTCGGCTGCGGCTAACGTTCTTGAAAAGAACCCGATGGGTTTGCGTTGCGCATCCGGGTGTGTTTGAAATAGTGCAGCGCCTATTTGGTAGTCGCTTGCATCGGTATCTACCGGGTAGGGTAGGTCCTTCTTCGGCAGCGCCAACACCAGCGGTGCCAAGATGGCGTCCTTGAGCTTATGAAAAGCTTTCTTGCACGGTTCGTCGAATCCTTCCAACTGGACCGGTTGTCCCTTCTTCAACAGTTGATTGAGCGGATGCACGATTTTCGCATAATGCGGAACGAATCTGCGGTAGACATTACAAAGTCCCAAGAAGCTCCTGAGCTGGGTCTGCGTTTGAGGGTACCTCACTTGTTCCAATGCGACGGTTCGCGCAGCGTCCACCTCCAATGTACCTGGCCGAACTACATGGCCCAGGTACTTGATCTTTTCGACGAAAAATTCACACTTGCGAAGTTTGAGCTTCACACCGGCCTTCTCTAATACAGAAAGTATTTCATCCACGTGCACGATGTGCTCCTCCCACGACTTGCTAAACATTATTATATCGTCCAGATACACCAAACAGCACTTCCAGCGGAACGGAGAGAGCAGGATATCCATTGCTCTCTGAAACGTCGCTGGCGCGTTAGTTAGCCCGAAGGGCATTCTTGAGAAGCGATACAGTCCTTAGTGACACGAAAATGCGGTCTTGTCGCGGTCGCGCTCAGGGATAGGCATCTGCCAATATCCCGAGATCGCGTCCAACGCAGAGAAAACCTTGGTGTCACCAAGCGAGTCCAGGCACTCATCCATGCGCGGTAAGGGGTACGTGTCGTTCACCGTCACTGCGTTCAGCCTGCGGTAGTCTACGCAAAAACGCATTGACCCGTCCGGCTTGGGCACCAGCAACACGGGCGACGCCCATTCTGACTGCGCTGGTTCTATCACTCCTGCCTCCAACATCTTCTGCACCTCTGCATCTTCTACTTCGTGGGCTTTAGGCCCGGCCCGATACGGGGCTTGTGCGATGGGACGAGTCTCGGGGATCAACTCGATCCGATGGACTGTGGTATTAATTTCGCCAAGCGTCCCATCCCACATCCTTGAATACTTCTTCAACATCCGACGGAACCGCTCGCCCAGCCGGTCCGGCACGTGGTTCAGGTCGAGTTCCTCCACGTCCGGCGGGGGAGGCTCAATTCGCCGCTCCGGCGTCGTAGTTGCCGTCGCGGAGAGCCTTTCCTCCCGTTCTCCTTGCTGGTCCTCGCGATCTTGATCCGACGGTTCCCATCTTGCCTCGCCCGTAGGCGTCTTGGAAGAATTAGGAAAATTTTCCTTCTTCCTTTCTTGAATCCCGAGAACTTCACCAATGGTGGTTTTGCTCTCGAGCGCGGCTCTCGGGTGCGGTAATAATTCTGCCACCACTTGGCCTTTTTGCACCCTGACAGGGTACGTCCTAAAATTCGCAACGAGTAACGAAATGGCCGGTCAGGCTCGACCTGAACAACACCATTTGTACACGTCAGCCCGTGCCTTTCGTACAACGACGAGTACGGCTGAACCACAACTAAGCCCGCCCTCTTCGAGGTGCATTCCACGACGTGTTGCGTCCCTGGCTCAATAGTTGTGGCTCTTGCCACTTTTACCTTAGGGGAAAATCGCTCCCCCTTTCCATCATTCTCGTCCTCTCCCGGGACGGGATTCTTCTTCCCTCTTCTCGTCGAGAACCGCCTAACTATCGGAACCTCCGAGAAATCCACCAACTCAACCGTTTTCTTCCTTGGATAAATTGCTTCCACAAACCGGTCACAGTAGTCCGCGCCTAGAATTAGCGGGACTGCTATTTTTTCGCATACAATAAACTGGGCTGCGGCCACAAATTTTCCAAGCCTCACAGGCATTCTAATTGTGCCAAGAGTCCGGAGTGGCCTATTGTTGGCGTCGCCAATGTCTTGGGTCGGTCCGTAGGACACTAGAGATTCCATTCCAGCTGGGAGTTCCGATTTTCGCACAAGGTTTGGTCCCGCACCGGTGTCTAAAACAGACAACACCCGGCTCATCAATCCGACTGTTGGTCCAATGTCCGCGTACACTTTGTAGTTTTTTCGCGCAAGAACCAAAATCTTCTCGGGACATTCCCTTCGCTTAGCCCTGTACCAGGGTCTTCGAACTTCTTCCAGCGGATGATCTCGGGCTCGACTCACAATTTTCTTGACTTGAGCTGGCCCTTTGGGCTTATCCGCCAATCCAACAACCTCCTCCTCGAGGCCTGATTTTTCCTTTAGAGACGGGGAACGGGGCTGAGGCCCGGGCACAGTACGTCGACCGTGTGCCTCTCGCGACTCATGCGAGATTCCCCTCTCTAGTTTTCCTGCCGCTGCGGGATCCTTCTCACATCCGACGGCGCGGGCCCCGCGGTGGGCCCTCTGAAGGGTTGGTTCGACCTCGGCGTTGAAGCACTCGGCGTGCTCGCCGTCTGCGAATCGAACCAATTCTTGACCTTCAGGTAACTCGTCGATGGTATCCCTAACCTCTCCATCGGAGACAACGCCTCATAATTTTCCAAAACTCGGTGCATTTCCCGGAGGGAAAGAATGCACGTTGGCGCGGCGTGCCCCTTTTCATAGCAATGATAGCACACCAGACCGTGCGTCTTGACGGGATACGGCGTCCTAGGTCCTCCACGGGCCGGCGGCCTTGCTTGACGTTGCGGCCTTCCCATCCAGCCTGGCCTTCGAAACGTCGTACCCTTGTCTTCCATCGGAATGCGCGGCGCCGGCGTGTGGCCGCGCCCCCGAAACATCATCACGGGATCCGTGGGCTCTGAAAACGACTCCGTCGTGTATGCAGGCATCGGTAAAGTTGACGACCCGCTGTCCCCGTAGTCCTCGTGTCCGTAGCCCTCCGATGGCTCAATGAACTCGCCTTCGGCTACTAACGCTCCTTCGTAGTGATTTTCGCTACTTCCATGCGCACAGCGCTCATCTGACGCTGAAATGGACTCGGCTAAATGGACGGCGGCGTGACTTTTGCGACCGGGATAAGAAGCCCTCGGCTTCTTACCCGCCTTAATTGTCGACGGCGTCTGAATCGTGACCTTCTTGGTCTTCTTGTCCTTAGCGCGGCTCGCCGAGCCATGCGCCTTCGCGTAATTAACTAGTCTCAAAAATGAAACGTCCCGATTGTCTTGTCGGTATTGAGATACCATCGGCTTGACACTCGAATCGAGTCCTTCAATAAACATCGTCATTTGTTCTTCCATCGAATATACGTTTCCACATCGATTGCTTGCGTCCGTCAGACGGATATAAAATTCCATCTCGTCTTCAGACGGTCTTTGCTGAACTTCTCGCAATGCGAGCACAGCTTGACGGATCGCCTCGTCGGTTGCGAAACACCTCAACAACCACTGTACGGCCTCCGGCCAAACGGATATCTTTCCGTGATGGGCCCCGGCCGTCTGAGACACCGAAGTGTACTGTCTCAAGGCGATGCCGCTTAAAAATTCAGGCAACAGGCGGATCGCTTGCCCCTCGTTCATTTCTTGAGTATCGAACTCCTGAACTAATTTTGCCAAAAAATCCAACACAAGGACCCTGTCCTCACCTGTGAACGTGTTGTCCTTCTTCACCTTAGGCGGAATATCTCTCCTGATTTTTCGCACGGCGGTCCGCCGGGAACTTGACAAATATGTCTGCGGGTTCCGCAAGCGGTACGTTCGGTACGAAAGTAATTTCTTGAAGAGGTAGTTGGTCGGATTCAGCTCCTCCAACTCCTCCCATCGCGGCCCGCGCCGCGTTGCGACATCTTCGGGCTCCGCGTCCTTGTCTCTCCGCGAGGCGGACGAAGTGACTCCGCCTCGTCTGGAGGAAATTTTCTTGCTTGACGAAATTCCGTTTCCGTCTTCTGAACAGCGTTCAGAATCGCCCGAATGGTTCGACGAACCGCCGTTACCATCTTCGGAGGGACCAAGCGACTCCGACTGTGAGTCGCGGTTCTCCGGATCGTCACTACAGTGACCCTTGCTTGTACGTCGCTTGTCCTTCTTCGAGGGCTTCGACTTGGAACTCCGCTGCCGAGCGGGCTTGTCCTTCTTCGACCGACGGTCGCCCTCTCTACCCGAAGGGAGCGGCTCGTCGTCCGATCCTTGCGGAGCTTGATCCGCGGCCTGTTCAAGGTCCTTGAGACGTTGCGCGGCGCGATCGAATCGGTCATCAATGCTTGCTCTGAATTTTCCTAAGGACTCCAAGGCTTGATTCGCGTCGCGCCTCGCGTCCTTGACCGAAATTTTCAACGAGGCTAGGACCTCCGGCTCCAGACCGTCGGTCGCCTCACCTCGCTCCTTCTCGACGAGATCCACTCGAGCCGACAGCTCTCCCAAAACGGTGTGGAACTCAGATGCTTGCAACTCCAGTTGCTTCCGGACGAGGGCTAATTCAGCCTCGAGATTTTTCGTCATCTCTTGGCGAATTTCCTCGCCCATCTTCTCGAACCTGTAGGATAGGTTATCCTTGTCGGTTTCAATCCCCGTCGGGGATTCTTGACCTTCGGGATCCGTGGCCGTATTGGCCTGGCTTCGGGTGCGAGGACCTCGCGGGATCCTCGACGCCCTTGCCGATCCGCTCCTACTCGCCCCGGGACCGACGTCTCCGGGGGTGCTTGTCGACATGGTTCGTTTCCAAAAACGAACCTAACTTAACACATAGAAAAAAATAGAAAACGCCACCGCACCTGAATAAACTTACGTCGCAGATAAAACTTTTGTAGTCCGTTTCAGCTTACGCAGTTTCTAGGTCGGGTCTCCTGTACGCATTTCTAGGTCGGGAGACCACTTTTGCAGTGCAATGCGCCTGTTAGGCAGAGACCAAGGTCCGACGGTCCAACACAAACAACAGCAACAAAAACAACAACTGCCAACGGCACAGCGCTACGGAGTGTTCGAAGCTCCCTGTCCTCTTTAAGCGGGTTTGCGGCCCGCAGTAGCTCGGATCCCTGATAGAGGGGGGGCAAAGAGAAGGGCCCAGCCCGGGATCGGTAAATGGTGGTAGAGACTTGTAAAGGCAACTGCTCGACGAGTTCGGAGGGGTGTTTAGGTAAACCTGGTCCGATGGGTCGTAAATCCAATGCTCGAAGAGCGCCTTGTACACCTTATACCCTTGATAAGGTCTTCGACGGGGACGTCGCAACGTAGCCCGTCGGGAAAGAAGAAAACGTAGCAGCGCTACACCGTCGTACTGCCCGATGGCAAAGTACCAACAACGGATCGGTCGCAACCGAATTCCGATGGAACCAACACTGAGAAAAGCACCACTGGTGCACCAACACAAAAGCCCGATGGCAAATGACGTCACGTTGCGGATCGCAATCCTACAAGGTGGGCCCAACTCAAGATTAAGGGAAATTAGGATAGGGAAATAAAGGAAAATTGATAAGGGAAAAGGGGACCCCGAGCGATAGAGGATGCCGTAGGCTTACGTAAAAGGGAGCGTCTTGGTAGAGACCGACTTCGACCAAGGCGACATTCAACTCCGGCAACTCGGGTTACCTTTACTGACTTGGTCGTCAGAGGGCTAAGGTATATATATCGCCCCGCCGGAGCCACTACAGTAGCTCTCGGCGCTAGATCCTAGATCTAATCTAATGTTAAATAACTAATATGCAACTAA